TTTTTTTTTTTTTTTTTTTTTTTTTCTCACTCTGAATTTTTCCATCAGTTCCCTTAACTACCCATGAACTTTCAGGATTATGAAAATTTACAGAATAGAGTTTGATTTCTGAGTTTTCCCATATTCTCTCTCTTCAGTTGCAAATTTTGTACAGTTCTGTCATATCCACTGACTTCCAAAGAGTCCCACTTTATGTAGTTGTTCTGTCTTCTACCTTCAAATGTGATAAATTCAAGTGCTAGGGCTGGGCACAAAGCAAAAGCACTAAGGAAAATGCTTGGTTTATACTTCAGGCGTTCATAATTTTTAGTGGAGCAGTGGAGATGCTGACAAGTAGTTCTGGTGTTTGGAATACTCCTTTRTATTCCTTGGAGCTGGAACAAAGAGTGGGCTTTTAAGCAATCTTCAGGCTCTGCATGCTAAAAATCTGTTTTAAGAGCTTCTTTACACTGGTTTGTACTGGAACAGTGAGCATATTCTCTTCTTGGGTGTGAACATTTGTTTAGGAAAACAGAAATATGTCATTCCTTTTTTTCTTTTAACCCACATGTACTCACACAGGTACAGATCATCACTAGACATCTCTGTTCTTTGCTACACTGAAGACGTTGAACTGCATGTGTATAGCTATGCATTCTCATGTTTTGGATAGGCATGTTGAATTAAGATTATGAAAATAAGCTCCTTGTGGGAGAAATGATATCTGTTTATTTCCTTTCTTTTAGAGAGACTTTGATTGCTATAAAAATGATTGACTCAGTCAAAGTAAGAAGACAGTGCATGCAGGATTTCTACTCTCACTATGAACATCTATGTGCTCTTCAAGGCTCTGTCCCACTGAAAGCTGTGAAAGCCAATCTCAGTGAGGGTGCTCTCGATCTAACTGTAGATCGAATCAAAGCTGGAGACTGGGCGCCACTTCTGCATGCCCTCAGGCATGGTAAAACCCTGACTTCTGTTGCAATAAGAAGTTTTCATCAACAGGGTCTTGGAGAATCAGGTTTGTAGTGATGGCTGTAGATGATAATTATGTTTATGGTGTTAAGACTCTTTGCATAAGTAATTTGTGAGTCATTGAATGCATGGAGAAGGAAAATGCAATTCATTCTGTTTAAGAACAGTGGCAAAATAAGAGTTATGCTTATGATAGCTTTCAAGTAAGTAATGATTGGATGTTATTACTCTTCATTTCTYTTTATAGGTGTTGAAAGGTATAAAAGTTACTTCAGAAGGCGAATTCCACCAATTCGATCAAAAGACTTAACTGGTCAACTATGTAAGGCTGTCAAAGGCTGTCTGAGTATATCAGATGTACTAAAAAACTTGGAACTGCAGGGATTGCTTCTGAGAGAGAGAGATCTAATACTTTTGACAAAGGTGAGAATGAGCTGATGTAAAATTGAAGCTCATTAGAAGGTAGGAAGGTAGCTTACTTGATAYATATTTTCTATAGATGGGGAGTACCTATTTTAAAACACATTTTTGTAGTCTTCTGGAGACATCTAGCATAACCTAGTATTTAATCAAAATCAATTATTTTATCTTGTTTGTCAAGGCTTATGGGAGGGAAGACTTGTTCAACATCTCCACTCTGTGTTTGGGGTGTGTMACTTATGCCTCGGACTGACACTGCTGTGGAATGTAATGATAAAAGAAAAACTGCAAGTCACCGAGAAGATAATACACTTTGGAAAGCTTGAAGCTACGTTTTTTGCTCATGAGTTGCTTCTAGGAAGTGAGGTGCCTACCTGTGTCTTGAACGCTCAGGCCTATTCCTTTTTCTAAAAAAAAAGAACTGCTTCACAGCTTTAGGCTCTTCTGCRGCTTTCAGGGACCACTAAGTGCTTGGGCTGAGCAGTTCGTGTGCCTTGTACTCTTTTCTGKTCATATATTGTTTTTGTTTTTCAAGTCATTTAAAAAAAAATCTGTTGTATTATTTTGTAGGGATTGGCCAAAACCTCATCCCTGGAGAGTATCTCTGTAGCCCACTGTCCAATTGGAGATGGAGGATTAGAAAGTAAGTTTGAAAATAAAACAATAATTGGCCTTGTGAGGTGACTGGTAAAGGCATAAATACAGCTCCCCCCTCCCCATTTTAAATTTGGGTACACCAAATAAAAGTAACCATCTTTATTTTACATAGCTATACAATAGGTTTGAATAAGTTTGAATTTACCTGTTTGTTAATAGAAAGCAGTCATACCGCTTAATAATGTTGATTATAGTTTTAAATAAAACCAAGCTATTATTTAAATTTGAACCTTTTTTTTTGTGATTGGTTCTTGTTTATATGAGGAAAATATCATTTTCTAATTAGTTCTAATGCTCTTTACTACTCTAAAAATATTTAATCTTTTGAAATTACAGTGGTTAGCTGTATTTGAAATAAACTTTATTTTTTAACACTAGTTCTTTGACAAAAGATTTACCTTTTTAAGTTAACTCACTTTCATAATATAACAGTAGGAAAATGTGCTTGTTCTGATGATCAGACTRTTTAGTGTATGTATATAACATAAACAATTATATTCCCTTTAGCAATCTGTCAGAGTGTGAAGAATTCGGCTAGTATCAGATCCATAAACTTCACAGGATGCAGCCTTACCTGGCGAGGGGCAGAACACATGGCAAATGTTTTAAAGGTAMCTTAACCATAAATATTAACAAGAACTTAAATAACTACAAACGTGATGGATGTATTCTGCTTGTATACAAATTTGCTGGTAGTTTGATGATAAAAACAATGCTATATCATATACTGTTTTTGATGTGAAATCCCTTTAGGAAAGGGATAGTCTTTGATGTAGTTACAGTGATGGTCTCTCTGCCTGTCTTTTACCTTCTCCAAATTTCTGGAATGTCTGAATATTCCTGAATTCCTGAAAATTGTATCTTCAATATAAGTTATTATTTATGAGTTAAATTATGGGGGTGTTGTTGTTGTTGGGGGTTTTTTTTTTTCTTTTTTTTTTCTTTTTTTTTCACTTGATAACAACTTTCTTCTTTTCAAAGCACCAGGCAATGAAAAGACATAATGAAGCTTGGGCCGAGAGCCTACGTTATAGGAGACCAGACCTAGATTGTATGACAGGATTGAGGCGCATTACTTTCAACTGCAACATGCTTGTTGGAGATAGAGGGGCCAGTGCCTTTGCAGAATGCATAGGGGAGGACTTGTGGCTGAAAGGTATTGTGAAATACTGATTCAGAGATATAATAGAGGAAGAAAAGTGACTTTGGCGTTTAAAACAAACGTAGACAAAGGAAGAATTTGGCATTTAACTATTTTCCTCTCTTATCCGAATATTCAAAGTGTCCAGTAATTTGCCAGTATTTTGGATGAATAATTTTAGTGTAGTATGTATATGCTGAGTGACTTCAGTCTTTTTGATAGTAGCTGTAGCATCCTGTACATAGAATCAGACACCTTTTGAAGTTTTTTTTATGGTTTGTCAGAGTTGGCTTTGTAGGTAAGATGTGCCTGCACAGCATGAGAAGAGAGGCAGAAAGTCACAAAAGTACTGTGCTTATTCAGTTGCCATAAAATTTGTTCAGGCTTTTCAGATTAAGTTTTTTTTTTTTCAGCTTACATGTGTGTTAAGCTACTCTGGGAAGCTGTATCAATTGATACCTCTCAGTTTTACATCTAGTAGTAATCCTTAGGAACAATGATTTCCCTGTAATTTGATACTCCTTTCTTTGCAGTTATTTAATAATTACATTTCTTAATGTAGGAAGTATATATGATATGATCTAAATCTCTAATTTTCACTTGGGAAAATGGTATTGTAGTTTATACTCATGGCTGTTACAGTAGCATTACCTCACCCTTTCTGTGAAATGGTTGTACTTAGTACAGGTGGATTAATTGTCGATATTGACTACATTTTATGACACTTTTTGTTGTTTTTGTTTTAATTCCTTGAACACTCTAGCACTTGATTTGCAGCAATGTGGAATATCCAGCGAAGGAGCAAAGTCATTATTCGATGCTCTTCAAACTAATAGAACATTAGTGGTACTTGACATTAGAAAAAATCCCTTAATAGGTATGTATCTATACTTACGCTTGTCCTCTTTTCTATGAAATTAAGTAACTGCTGTGAAGGTGGGAAAATAGACTACTTAAAAGAGGAAACCTGCAGCAGTATTTTATTAAGCATTAAAACAAATGTATGGGAGGAGAGCAGGTAATGTATACTGCTTATTCAATGATCTATTAGTCTGCATAAATTATAAGTCTTATATTAGTCTGCAATAATTATAAGTCTTACAGGAAATTCTTAATACACAATTTTAATTCTAGATCATGTTTTGGTGAAAAACATTGTTGAAAAGGTTCTTATGAATGGAAATGGTGCCCATTCAGAGGTAGGTGTTGAACATTTCATAGATTATCTTTTGCTTATTTTTCTTTTTTGTTTGTTTTGTACTTGACATTGCATATGTTAAATCAGCTTTGTTCAAAATGAATATAATATTTAATTCTAGTTATAAATATAAGCATTAAAAAAGAAAAAGTGTTCAGTATTAGCAGCAGTGACAGTTCTTCTGTCTTGGACATTTTGTAGGCTATTTTCTGTAATTTAAATGTAATATAATAGACTGAGTTTCATTTAATATTTCTATTTTTTCTTCTTGTAATGTAGTTGGGCATTATCCTAGAACATAAGTTAATACTGTTGAGTTTTCTAGTGTGTGTGTGTGTGTCTGTCATGTTAATCCATGAACATCAACTAAATAGAAGAAAAAGTCACAGTTAAAAGTAAGTTTGAAAATACCTTCATTCTTAGTATTGTAAACTATTGATGATAAACTTAATTTCACTTAACTGTAGTTTCTTAGATGATTAATAGTCAAAACTATTGTTTCCAATAAGTACAGTACCCATTTCCATTTTTGCCTAGTAGCCTGTAAAGAGTTTATAGTAATTTAAATAAACTCAATATCTGGAACTCTTATGGTTGGATATACCATATAGATATATAGATATTGAATCTCTTGTTTCTAACTCAAAACTCCCAAAGGAGTTAGCAAGCAAATGAGTACACTCCTTTATCCTTGCTTTTTGACAGCTGCAACAGTCTTGTTCCCGACCTTATTGCTGTTTTGGCTTTGAAAAGGCTTGAAAGTCAGAGCTGTGATTCTGTAGGAAATAAGTTCCGAACTGAGAAATGTGTGTGTGGGATTCCTTTCAAATTAGTACAGTTGCCTTCTTCAATCATTTGAAGACCTTTTGGAGAAACTGAAGTTGATTGTGAAAAAGTGCTTTTTTTACCTMGGCACACAGAGTCAGCACTTGCAGATTGTGTAAGGATTCTGTGAAAATAGCATCTGCTTGGTAAAAATGTAGCTCAAGTTGAACTATGAAAGGACAACTCTTTGAAGTATTTCCATATACTTCATATTTACCATATACAAAGAGTTCATTCAGCTCCTGTGTTATATTCATCAAGGTAGTAGAGTATTACTGGCAAAACTAGTGATCATGCTTATCTGGTTAGCAATGTAAATAAAAAATGGCTGAATACTAGTTTATTAAGTTACCTTGCCTCTCTTCCAGAGCAGAGAACATAGCAACCTTGATCCATGAATTTCCTAAGCCATGTGGGTAGGCTGCTGTAAATAGCACACTTACCATTGAAATAGTGTAGGCAGTCAGAATGGAATTAGTTTCGGAGGCTAAGWTTCTTTTGAAATTGATGTTAAAATTTGGATAAAATTGTATTTGCAGTTGGCTTTGAGTTTAGTTACACAAGTCTGTATATTACGAAGATAAAAACAGTTAAATTTCTTTGAGGTAGTGTCCTGAAAGTGTTCGATATTGACATAGAGCACTTTATTGCTTATTTTGATGMGTAAAATGTCAGACATCAAAGATGCAGTTAGTAGCTTTGCTGGCCCTACAAACTAAAAGCAAAAATGTTTTAAAAGTAGTGCATTTGTATGAATCCTTGTTCAGCTGTAAGGTATGTAAACTCTGAATGGAACTATAACTTCCATTCTAGCTATCTTGTAAAAAGTTTTAGCATTACACCCAGAATATTCAGTTAACTCTCAGATTTTCCTTGAACTTTTCTGGAGGATCAATTATGAACTAAGTTTACAAATTTGAAAAAGTATTTTCTGTTTCTTMTAGTTTAAGCTTGTTAGAATAGCATACAATCAATTAACATATACATTGCTTCCTTTTGCCATCTGTGCACTGCCTCCAAACCTGTGAGGTTTTTAAAGGATGTGTTGATCCGTTTTTCTTAATGGAGCAARTGTGGGTATTTTTTTTCTGACCTATTTAACCTAATAGGTTTTGCATTACTTTTACCCATGTTAGTTGCTAGAGATATGTTTTTTTGTATCAGTAAGATCATACCAAGTGTAGTGTGTCCATATAGATTTTGTTTGACATAGGAGATAAAATGTAATTTTTGTTTGTTTGTTTGAAAAACGCAGCTTACTTGTGTAGCAACAGCCCAACTGATACCATATCTCACTCTTAGAGCCAGCTGAAAAGTAGCATGAGTGGTCATCCTTAGTACTTCCTTTAATTCCAACTGTAGTTCTAGCTTTTTTTTTTAACTTTGTCAAAGCTAACTGTTAATTTTCAAAAGTAGAATTCATTTATAGAATGTAGAATTTGTGTATATCTGAGAGGTGACAGATCTGTATTTTGTACCACCTGAAAGACACTAAGCATGTGTTGTTGTGCAAATTCTATATTTAAACGWAGGTGGGCTTCTTAATGGCCCCATATTAAGTTATTGAATATACAGAAGATGGTGGCTTTGTTATTTGTGGTGACCATTACTTGCTTACTTGATACTGTTTAAAACAGCCCTTCTATCCATTTTGCCTAAGAAATTGTTGTTTTTCATTATTTCTTATTTACTTATAGCTGCTTGCGTTTTGGGTTGAATTTTTTAAGTCTGCAAGTAGGAGGTTCGCTACTATTTGATGCTGTTAAACTTGGGGAAACTTGCCAATAAATTTGAAGGACTGCTTTGGCAACTTAAAGGGCTTTTATACCATACTAGCAGTGTTGTGTAGTTCTAGCATAGTGGACTATAATTGTACACTTGATTAGATATGCTGGATGGTAAGTTTGCACAGATTCTTGGAGAAMCTGCATAGCCCAAAGGAGAATTCCACTGAAGATGTCTACAGTACAGRATGTCCCTGTTGTCCTGGCTCAGAGACCTAAGATAGTGTTGAGGAATTACAATATACTTGCCATCCTTACACTCAAATGCTGTGTAACAGCGACAGGTAACTAGACAAGAGACTTGTTACTGGGTTAACCCAGTAACATCTGCTTTTATGTGTGTGGTAGGAAAAAAAAGATTGTGGCCTTAAAGTTACAATTTAGTTTATTCTTTTCCTTTGAAGACTTTTTTGTAATTAAAAAATGACAGTTACTTGTTTCAAGAGTTGTATCGAGCAGCAGAACCAGCAAAACTCATACAAGAATAATTGGAGTCCAGATTTATCATAGGCARGAAAAGTATTTGTATAAGCTTGCATTAAAGTTGGTTAGTTAGAGCACAGTAACTGTGTAMAATTTAATCTTCATTGTGCCAGTAAAGCCTGGTGGGAGTAACTTCATCATATTGTTCTGAATGCTCTGATGTGGGATTTAAAGCTGTCTGAGACACTGAGCTTTGCATTAATCTCAACTGAATTTCAGTTGCTAACACTGTTTATTGGGTGGTTTTAATGACTTTCTGCTGCACATTAAAATCTAAGTGAATGTAACTTAAGAATGTCTACATGGAAGAATAACAGCATTTTTATTGAGAGAAGGGAAGCTTTTAAGAAAAGAACCGTTACTATAAGAAAATGAATTCTGAAGCACAGCAATTGCATTTGATTATCACTGTGTCTTAATTTTACCTTGGATGCTTTTACTGTTTAAGAATGAATTTTCATTAGAGGCAGTGAAAATTACACTACATTCTTTAGTTTTAAATYTTATTTGCAATAGAAAATCATGTCAGGACAGCTTTTATTGCTCTAGAGAACTTTGGCCTGAGCCAGTCATTCCTAACAATCCAGCTTTCTGTAGAGAATGAAAAGCAAGAGCCAGAGTTTCTTTTTTACAGGGTTTGTGCCACTTTTTATTACTATAAAAGGTGAAGTGTTTTGCACAGGAGGAGGGAAGAAATTGAATGAGATGTTATAGCGGTGTTCTGGGAACACTTGCTGATAATGTTGCACTCAAACTTGTATTGAATTTTTGCTAGAATTGTGGCTTTGTGGAACTTCTATTTTTTCTTAATTTTACAGGTTGTCTKTTACTTGCAGTGGGTCTCTATATTTGACAAAGAAAACTAGTCTTAAAGGAGCATCTCCTGAAATACCAGTAACTAAAATAATGTCTTTCTTTTCTAAAAATACTACTCAAAGACCCAGTACAAATGGCTGACCTCTCCATCTTCAAAGGATGCTTTGAAAACTAGACCGAAGAAAAGAACTATTGTCTTAGGAAGTGGTCGAAAAGGAAAAGCTACTATTCGTATTGGTAAATACGAACTTTATTTTCTCTGAGTATAGTAATTTATTTATAAAACAATACTTCAACATCAAACTTGGATTACAAAAATATATTGTGTGTTTAAATGTTAGATTTTACAGAAAACTTTTTTTACTTCCAAGAAAATTCTGTTCATTCTTATTTCACAAATACCTTTTCTGGTATCAATGGTTTCAATAGCAAACCTGATCTTATTTTCTGTTATTAAATGTGTGGCTGGGAAAACTGGGATTTGCTGAAAAAGTATGTTGAAGCATTGTATATACTTTTTCCAAGAACTTTTTGTTTGTTTGTTTGTTTTTGTTTGTTTGTTTGTTTTTTGGTGTTGCAGCCTTTCTGTTGCAGGCTGTCTTCTGTCAGAGCAAACAAGTATGAATTTTTACTGATGTACAAAACATTGTAAGGTTTCTTCATATAAATGATTATAAATAGTATATTTAAAATAACATGGGTATAATGAATATTATAACTGGTGAATATTGGTAACTAATGCAGTAAATACTTGAAAATTATTTAAGTCTCCCAGTAATTCATTGGTTGTTTCTCGTCTTTGCTTTAGTTATCTGGAAGCAGAGAGGTAAGCATAAATCAAAATGGAACATGTTTGTACAAATAAATTCTGTGTAATGGAAGAAATGAAAATGTCTGATTTCTGGGTTTAGACTAGTGTAGAGCTTGGAAGCAAAATCTCTTTCAGTTTGTTCTCAACATAAGAAAAATACGGAATCATGTTATCATAGTTGTGCCTTCATACACATTAATTGGTCTTATACTCTGAGAAACAATAAACTGAGTTCTCATTAAACTGCATGGAGTATGAGGTGAACAGTTTTCTCAGCTTGTTACTTTTGAATTGTGAGTATARTGAGCATCTGCTTTAAGTGTTCATCCGGAAACTACTTTGACTGTTACTTTGTGGTTTAAAAACAACTACAAAAGGCTGGATTAGTAAGCGTAATGTTTCTTTATTTTTTATTCTTAAGTGAAGATTTTTCTGGTGTGCTGTAGAAGGAATTAATRTAAATGCAAGCTTTGGTTTACAAGCATCTGGTGAATTACAGAGCTGTTRCTACTACACTAAGGCCACTAGAGGGCAATTTGAAGCACATAAGCAGTCTTATTTCCTGTATAGGATGCCTAGGCTCCCACTCTAGACACCTGCTGTAGGTATCTCAAATTAGTAGTTGGAATAAACTTCTTTAACCTCAAAGCTTTGCTTTTGAGAAAAAAAAAAAAAAAAACAAAAAGCAAAATAAAACAGAAAAAAACCCAAAACCCCAATTTTATTTAGACAAGCCTGGCACAAGTCAAACATACAAGCTTGTAATTGTGAACAGGTCACCCCCTTTGGGATGCAAAATAAAAACTAGCTCTTGAGCAAAACTGGTTTGAAATRTGGATTTCCTACAGTTGCCTTTGTTATATACGAGTTCTTAGAATCATAGTTAACCAATCGTAAGTATATGCAAGTAACTTTCTCTTCCWTAATACAGGATTAACATCTAAAAAGTCTGCAAGTCCTGGGAAAAGAAATTCATCTGTGAAAGATGTTTACTCGCCAAAACCACTACCACCAGGCACAAAAGGCTTCCTTCCTTGGCGCACTGCAGAACGTGCGAAGAGATGCAGGTGGGCTTTCATAATGCAAGGGAAAATTGCTTTGCAAATAAAGAAAAATCCTTTTTTTTTTTTTTTTTTTTTTTGCTTTGAAAATTGTGTGACAGAGCAGTGTTAAATGCATATTTAAACATCTTACCCTAACACATTTCTGTATTGTGTTCATAATTATTTCTGTTTATGTATCCCCTCTTTGGAGGGGATGATATATGGATTGACTGCAGCAAGTCTTTAATATATGCACTAAAGTATAATTTCATGGCCATAGGAATATCCAGATGCTCTTAAGTGAGAAAATCTTACCTGTGTGGTTTTTTTTTTTTTTTTTCTTTTTAATTAACAATGGTGGATCACAGTTGAACCTTTAAGTCTGTAATCACAGAAATACAGAATGGTTGAGTTTGGAAGAGACCTTTGCATATCATCTATTCCAATCTCCCTGCGCAAGCAGGATGACCTRCTGCACATTACACAGGATTGTTTCTGGATGGATTTTGAATATCTCCAGTGAAGGAGACTCTACAGTCTCTCTCAGCAGCCTGCTCCAGTGCTCACAGTTGAATTTTTTCTAAATTTCAGATGGATCGTCCTATGTTTCTGTTGCCTGTTGTCATTGGCCACCACTGAAAATGATCTGAATCTGTTCTGTTGTGATCCTACCTGAACATATTTGTGTATGCTAAGATTTCCTCTCAGTTATTCTCTTCTGCAGGCTGTGCAGGTCCAGTTTGATCAGACTTTCTTCTTAAGCAAGTTTTACCCATTCCCTAATCATCTTTGCAGCACTGTGTTGGACTGTCCAGTAGTTTCATTTCTCTCTTTTACTGGGGAGCCCAGAACTGGATGTGGTCCTCCAGATTTGACCTCACCAGGGCTGAATGGAGGGAGAGAATCCACCTCACTCCAATCTGCTGGCAACACTTCTTTCTAATGCAGCCTAAGAGATCATTGGCCTTGGCCACAAGGRCACATTGCTGGTCACGGTCACCTTGTTGTCTATCAAGACCCTTAGGTCCTTCTCTGCAGAGCTGCTTGCTGTCCAGCAGGTCACTCCCAACCTGTCCTGGTATCTGGGATTATTGCTCCCTAGGGGCAGGACCCTGCACTTAACCTCTATTAAACTTTGTGAGGTTCTGCTCTCCCCATCGCTCCAGCTTGTACAGGTCTCTCTGATGGCAGCAAAGTCCTCTGGTGCATCAGCTGCTCCTACGTGTTTTGTATCGCCTGTCGACTTTCTGAGGGTGCACTCTATCCTTTCTTCCACATCATTGATAAACTGTTACTATGAAATTCTGTTCATTGTAATACAATTTATCTAACATTCAGTTTTAAGCGTCTAGGTGGGAACCCCACTTCCAGCATAGGTATCTATGACCCTCTAAGTCCTCTGAAGTAAAACATCATGGCTTTCAAGTTTTAAAAGATTAACTTTTATCGTTGTGTTTTCCTTTGAAATCATTCAATCCTTTCCTTTGTGAAATAATTTTTTTCCGTAGACCTTAGCCTCTATAAGAGGCCATACAAACTAAAAATTTAAACAAAAGATATCCACTGTTCTGTATCTTTTTAAAACTTCTTTTTCAAAAATCCTGATCACCAAATTCTGCTGTTGACTTTAGTTGATAATAATTAACCAAGCAAAATGCTTGTTGAAATGCTTAACATTAGCATCTAGGAGTGTTGTCTTAATTCTGGATTCTGTGAGGAGTATTAGCAAAACAAAGCGAAGATGCAATGGATGTTTAAGGGATATAGTGAAGTATGTGATGTTATCTTAACTCTGATTTGCTTAGTTAAAAGCATTCTGTTTGTAAACTTTATTTTAGCAATGGTGACCTATTACAGACTTCTTCTTTTTAAGGGCTACTCCGGTGGATAGTACTCARGAGTTACCAGTGAAGATTCAGGTACTGTCTTTCTCATATTGTTGAGAAAACTATAGTTTATTTAGCAGATGGATGCCTAAAAAGAATGTAAATGTAATGAACACATTATTTCCATATAAAGCTTAGATTTATATGATTGAGAATTTAATAACTGGAACATATATTTAGAGTATGTTTCTTTTGTGGAAATATAAAGCATTTTACTTCAGCTTTTGATTGGAACTTCTCTGATTTCCAGTCCTGCAGCTCTCTCTTGTTTTCCTAACTTTGTGAGGAGTCTGGGGTTGAATTTGAGCATGGTCCTTCCAAAGCAAGTATATAGAATTAACAGCTTTCTTATATGAAAGGTTCTTTTCTTCCTCTTCCTCTCTTTCTACTTGTGATTCTGAATTATATATTTGTGTTTGAACCCTGTGTGAATTACTTTCATGAATACAGCTGCATTAACAAGAACTATTTCTTTTACCTTTCCAATCTCATGCTGTTGTCCTCTACCCCACCAAACATGGAGAAAACAAAACAAATTGGAGAGAGTATCAGTGTGTGCTGCAAACTTAAATTGGCTCACAGAAGGGTCTGTTGGTCCCTGGTGCCAGGACAATGAGGGAGAAACAGAGTTGTGGTGAAATGGAGAAAGGATTTGGGAACAAACTTTTACCTTTTGTTGGTGATATAGAGTTATTAAATCACCCTAGCTGGGTTGTAATCACAGCTTTGGACAKAGCAGAACTTGCAGAGATGCTACTAGGGGTACACACCAATATATTTGATGATTTTTAAATTGCATAACTATATATTGTATATATAATATAAGGAACTCTGGAAACGTTTGCATTCAAGTGAAGATTTTAGTAGTACTTAATTACTTCAGTTTTATTGTAAAGTGTAGTGCTCAGGGGTGTGTTTCTTTTTTTTTCTAATGCCATTAGACAGGTATTCCTGTGAAAGTGACAGTAGAAAGTGCTGCTACTTCTGAAACTGAAGACACAGAAGAATTGGATGATATTATCCACCATCCTGGTTTGAAAAAATCTATAGATAAAATGAATGTAACAAAGTATCAGCAGTTACAGGTAAGAAGCGCATTTTGTGCCATAAACTTCATAAAGGTGAGTGGTGTCACATGGGCGTGTTTGCATGTGTGGTTTTGTTTTGCTTTAAAAAAAAAAAATCTGTTTAATAAAACCAGTCATATAAAAGTGTATCTTTTAAATATCCTGCATTATGTCACATGCCATTCAAAAAGATAATCGAATGTGTTTCCAAATGCAGAGTAGTTCCAATGAAGATATTTATGCTATGAATATTTTATTGCAATTGGACATATATAAACAAGAAAATCTTCACTTAACACATCTGGTGGCAATATACTTAAACTGTTATTGCTTTGGGCCATTTATCTTTTCATCAGTACTATTTTCTCTAAAATACATTTATAAACAGACTTCAAGTGAAATGCCAAAGTTATTTCTAAGAGCTGAAATACCTTAGTGATTGTAGAAATAATTTATATAATTAGTAGTGCTTTGAAGCTCCGTTTTATAATTGAGGTCTGTGATTTTTTTTTCACTTTTAATTATTTCCTCTGTTCCTTTGATAGATACAAAGAAATGAGGAGTAGTAGAGAGACTAAATATTGCTGCAAATGCTTGCATAGGGACTAGCTAATGAAAGGAAGGGAAAAGAGAGGATTTTTTTTATTTTGATTCCTCAGTAAAACTATTAAGGTAATCTGATAATGTTATAAAATTCCCTCAGACTGGGAAACTGGGCTGTTCCTGAAGTGTTAGAATTTGAAGTTTGTTTGGAGAAGCTTTGTTGACTAGATAAATAGTTTTTAAAATTATTTTTCTGCATGTATTTTTGCTTTAGAGGTAGTTATTTGGGAGCACTGATTGAACTGCTTGTGTATATAAATACTAGGACCATTCTGCCATTCTTATGTAAGAAGGAGTGGATTTAAAATTTGACACTGCAGATTTATGCATAATTTGGAGAGTGTAGGATGGCTGCGAGTTACTGTGGAAGACAGAATGAGTGTACAAATCCAAACAGTAAATAGCTTGTTTGCTATCAGGGTGGGTTTTTTTTTTTTTTAAACTTACCATTTCCTCTCTAGAGGTCTTGTTCACACCAATTTTCAAGATTTTTGTGTACCTTGGTTATCAAATTCTGGTGTAGTGTTGTTTTCTGTAGGTGGTTTAGTGTTCCTGCTTGTGTGCAGCAAGTTGGCATTATGCTGTGCASTGACTTCAGCCCTTTGTAATGAACTGCATTATATTTGGAATCAATAATCTTTGTCGAATTCRTATTAAGTTCAAAAGTATATGCAAGAAATACTGTACTTTCAGGAATCATTCATTATTTTTATTCTTGGTGTTTGGAGTAGGGGAAATATAACCTTTGTGATACACTGCTGAGGCAGATTAAAACTGTTTTATGTYTTGGATAGGTTGTCACATCGGCCTTTGTCACTGCAGTTGTAGTGTTAGGCCTAGTTAGTTTGTTATTTATTTCAATTTAGTGAAATAAATCTGATGCTTTCTGTTTGTTTGAATTATCTGCACTTACACAAGARTGACTGAAAGATATAGAGGAATTTGTGCCTCCTGAGATTACAAATTTTAGGAGAATACCCCAAAATTTCTTCCAAATATAAATTGCTTCKAAATCTTCTGTCCTTGTAAAGGATCAAATTTAGTGATGTAATTGCATTAAGTACTTAATATTGGAGAGTTTTACTATATATATGTACATCATGAATTTGAAAAACAAAATACTGTCTTAGGCCATGGATGTAAGTCTCTCTTTAACAGTCTCAGACAGTGGGTGTGGTTTTTTGTTTGTTTGTTTGTTTGTTTTTTTTCCCTGAGCCGCTCCCATCCTTTTTGTCATGTTGATTAAAAAGCAAACTAACAAATTCTCACCACTGGAAGGTGAGGTCTGTTTTCATCTGTCTTTCTCTATTTCTCCATTCATTGTTGTCTTTTCTTGTATCCTTTTCTTTTCTGTACATATCTGATCACAAGGCAGGTTGATTCATCTTGCCAGTGTGGCAAAAATACTGTTTWTCAGTCTATGACTTTTTTAGTCTTTAATGAGTCAGATTAGCTTATGTAATTGGGTATGTTTCAGAACTGGAAGGTAAGTGGCAAAATTGTACAATGCATATGTTGCAGTTTATCAGTGACAATTATGTTTGTACCTGTACAAGACATCTTTCTTGTACACTTTTTGGTGAAGCCATTATTTTTTGGCCTTGTAATGATTTAAATCCTTGAAAACTCCATAGCCTTCTGCCTAAAAAGAGACTTAAAGCTTAATGCTCAGTAAAACTGTATTAGATATGCTTTCATTTTAGAAAGTGTATACTCACAGAATCACAGAATGATTGAGGTTAGAAGGCATCTCTAGAGCTCATCTAGTCCAACCCCCCCTCTTCTTTCCTTCCACAGAGGGAATCTGAAGCATCTCAGTTGCCTGTGATTAAGAATGTAGTTGAGGAAATTTACAGAATGTAAAAATGTAACTAATCGTATAATGTATTTCAACCTCGATGCTTAATGATAGGATCGTCTTAAAGGTTGTGAGCACACTTTCTGGAGTACTTTATTGGATGTGAGTCACTGAAGGCTCAGATTTTATAGCCTATMTGTAGGTGTAGCTCCCCATAATACATTTTAATTTTTTTTTTTCTGCATGAAGATTGCAGGATTGGGTGGACTTTTTCATATCAGGTCAAAGAACAAAATTTACATATGTATTTGATCATAGGATGAATTGGTTCATCTTGCCAATGTGGCAAAAATGTAATTTTTCCTAATTGTTTTTCGACCCATTTAATCATTCCGATTAGTTTATATATTTGGGTGTGTTTTGGAACTGGAAGGCAAGTAGCAGAAGTGTAAAAAATATATGTGTAGTTCAGCAGTGACAAATATGCCTGTATGGTAACAAGGTAGTTTTATTATTTTCCAAAATATTTTCTTAGAAATAACACTTTCCTAAAATTTATAACTTCTAGCAATCCTTTTCCTTATCTGTTCAGGTAATAAAGGTGCTACTGTAGCTTTTTAGTTCCAGGGTTAACTTGGTTGGTGCTAGCCTGGGGATCTTAGGAGCAGGTAGCCTTGGCCAAAGTAGACTTGCTCTTAATCAGCCACTCTGGTTGTCACTGAAGGGCTACATCTAGACTGTTTTGGAACCTGGATCTTTTCAATTATGCAGATGTCTGTCTCTCATCCTACAATAACTGTGAGGAATTCTTTTGCATTTACTGAAGGATTATTTTTACTGTTTGCTCTTCTGCACACTAATCTTAGTTTGTTGCTTGTATGAAGTACAGCAGTACACAATCTTGAGTAAAGTTTTGATGGTGAAGAAAGGTTTTAGAGGGCTGTTTGGACTTTTGCATCTCTGGTAAGGAGTATAGAGAGAAAAAAAGTACTTGTTTAATGTTATATATGTGCCTAAGTACTGGAGTATAGACAAGAGAAGAAACTGTATGTATTGAGAACTTGTAGGTAAAGTKTTTTGAAAAACAGAGTAGCTTTATAATTTTATCTATTATTTCCCTTTTGAAGCAGAAGATGTCATTAAGAGATTAAAAAAAAAATCCATATTCCACTTCAGGCARTATAATAAAAAAGATACTGTTGTGTCACGATAATGATAGATTAAGACTTAATCATTTATCAAATCCTCATTATTCACTGAAACCAAAAAATTTATTATTTAAAATGAAAAGCTAAAGTAAAAGTGAGAATCTCTTATGTGTAAAAGTAAAATGTTTATAACACATTTTGGTTTTTGATCAAATAAAACTAAAGTTTCTTCTCAAGCTATTTAACTGACTGTAAAACTTTTTGATCTTGAAACTTATTTCTTCCACCTTAAAGACTAACTGAAACAAGTGACAAAGTATTATGGTTTAGAATTATTATATTCCTATCACTGCATTAAAAAATAATTTCTAGTTGAAGACTCAATTCTAAAAAATTATGTATGACTACTGTTGAATTTTAGTCTTCTTTTTTATGAGATGATTATTATATTTTGACTGAGTAATCATATTTAATTTTAAAAGAAGACTTAAAAGGGGTGGGGGAAAAGAGGAATTAGGGTAATACACATTCCTGATAGTAATATCAGACATAAGAAAATTTGTGCTTCATGGTAACGCACTTGCAGTACAGTAATAGGAAAGTGAATTTCACTCACTTTCTCTACTGTGATAGTTTTCTTCTTTTCATAGTGATAGATCCAAGTCATGTATTTTTATGGAAGATATATTACTGCATGAAATTTCATGTACTAATTGTTAATTGGATTGATTTTAAATGCAAGTAATGTTGCACATCTGTATGATCTTGAGATTAATTTTTATTTTATGATAGCTTGACCTGGAAGAATGCCTGCTGAAATTAAAGGAAGAAAGAAGAGCCAGARTAAAGGCTGAGGAACGGATAATGGAGGTAATGATAGTTAAGTATTAATTGTGTTTAATTTTAAGGATGCACAAATCAAACCACCCACTTGTTTAATTATGACTAGTTATTGATAACCTCTTAGCTGGTTGTTTCCAGAGTTTCAGTTCAAAGTCACATGGATCACTTAGCAGCCTAAGGGCAGTGATGAAATCTACATTTAGTAATGTGTGTTTGTTTTCCTGGTTTCCTGCCATTTGTCCTATTCCAAAGCCTTGGACTCCACTCTTGGCTACTGCTCTCACAGTGCTGTATTCGTTGAGTGTATTAGTTATAATGCAGGACATACTGATTTTTTTCTAAGAAAATGATTAATTTTGCTTACAATTTATAGCAGTTGGTTTGCTGTCACAGTTCTCCCACTTTTGTTACTATAAGAGCAGTATGGTCACATGCTCACTGTGAATGCTACTATATTTGACTTATTCCTTTTTCTTGAATTGATATTGCTGACCTGGAGAGACCCTTCTGAATCAGGAATAGTTAGTAAGCAGAATTACTTGTAACAGACTGCAGAAGTTAATGTAAATGAGTAGATCTCAATTTTTAGATATGGCCCACAGCAGAATAAAAGTGGTGGTATGCTTTGAAACTTGAACTTGATGGTTCCTCCCGTCATTTCTTTCAGTAAAAGGAGTACATATCTAAAAAGAATACTCAGATCCTTCTGCCTGGCTGTCCTCTGTGAAGTGCACCAATGGACTCTGCTGAATTTGTGTTATTTGAAGTCTTGGATGCTTTTTAACCTAAATGCCCCCTGCAAGAAACTTTTCTACATTGTGCTAGACTGGGCTTAGTACCTTGTGTAATGGGACAGGATGAGCTAAATGTTAATGATATCTAAGCCTGTCACTTTAAGTGGTGCTGGTTTAACAGCTAGGATATATTGCATGTAGCTATAATTTTTTTCTGGTTCTGTTATAAAAGATGAAAAAGGAAAACCTGTGGTATGATAGTGATTTCATAGCTGTAAACTTAATTGGGCATCTAAGTTAATGCTTTACTTGAACAAACTTTGTATGTCTTTCCACCACTGTTCAAATTTCAGAAGATGRTGATGATTTGATGCAGTGTGCAGAAGAAAATGAAATCACTTTAAACATTTCGTTTTGGGATGCATAGAGTACGAGAGAGATGGTTATGTGCATTAGCTCTGAAATTTTGGGTTAAACGTATGTCCCATAGGTAGCTGGAGAGCTATCTTTTTGCTTGCGCTTTAGCATAAGCATAATGTTGCAGCATAAGACTGCCAGACTGCATTTTCACATCCTCCAGTGAATTCACTACGTTGTCACAGAACAGTAGCAGTGCATAAACCATGGATCAGCACTATGGATCTATGTAATGGTAGCCTGAGTATTCCTGGTACAGGAAGATACATACAAATTGTGTTGAGTATTTCTCTTTACACTATTGCATGTAAGCTTGCAAAGGTCTCTGTCTTTAACTGAAGATGAAGGAAACATCTTTTCTTGTCGTTGTTGTTTTGTAGTTGGAGGTTGAAAATGCAAGATTGAGGAACCTGAACATCTCCCTGTCTGAGGTTCTTCATACACAGTCAGTAACCAATATGATTTTGGAAGATGAAGGTGTTCTAGGCAGCATTGAGAACTCTTTCCAAAAGTTTCACGCCTTTTTAGACCTCCTTAAAGATGCTGGGTAGGTAGTTTTATTGTATGAATTTTGTCTTTTCTGTTGATAATTTTGTAAAAAGGTATCTGGACTATGGTATGTGCTACCTTCTATTCCCAAATCAATACCTTACCACAACAGTGAAGGGTACAAATGAAGAAAAAATAACTTATTTCCTTATTGTTCATTTTTTTTCTCAGTGAAAAAGCATACTTAAGCATATTCAAGCTGRCTTTACGTATTTGCCAGTAGGAAAGATCTCCAGGAAACCTCTTCTCAGAAGAGAAAAAAATTTTTAGTAAAATATCTTTACTCGGGCTTTTCATTGGATCAAGCGTGGTTCTTAGTGTTCCTTTAAGAAAGGTTCCCTGGAGCTGGTTTCAGAAAATGTCCACCTTCCTTCCTTGGCTCCTTTGTGGTAACTGAAGTACATAAAGCTAGGTGGGATAGATCTGGCCCCACTACTGAAATTCTAGATGACTCATATTTCAAAATTTCCAAGCTTTTCCTGCTTCCTCATCCTCCTCCTACCTAATGTAGTAATGTAAGGTAATGTAGAATTCACCTAGACAAAGCATTCTAATTCCATGCAAACCAATTGGTTACTTCAGAGTTGCTGAATTGCTTTCAGGATGRATTACAAGCTTCGAAGGAAGAGAAGGATGGTCTTTCACTGCATCAAGAGCAATTTTTTTTCAGAAGAGCCCTGCCTCTATTCATGACAATAGAGGTCTACTCTAAAAGTTAGGAAATTGCAATTGCGAAAATCACTTGTCTCAGTAAGCTTCTGTATGATGTGATACCAATTGGTGGCTGTGACTTTTTTGTTTCTGTTGGACCTTAGACTAACAAATCCCAAGCGGTATGTTTGGCTAGCTGCTAAGCTGCTAAGTGAAATAGCATGTCTGTATTTGTGAAGCATGTAATTGTACTTCTCTTCTAGAGACAATGCCAGGGATGTGGAGATGTGCACCAATCTTCTGCTTGAGTGATAAGGCTTTATTCTTTGCTTTGCCTGAAAGGGAATTCTCTTTCCAGACCTTAACTCTGAGATCAATACTAACGAGAATATAGTGTTACTTGCCCCACTGTCACTGACTGAAGGCTGACAGTTCTAAACCTGTAGGCTAATTTGTGCAGAAGTTGCTGAACGGCATTAGCCACTTATTTTTATTAAGCTGTTTTGGGCTTCATGAAAATAATAATAAAAAACTACAGAAGGGAAAATAAAGCTTTGGATTTTTTTTTCTTCTTATGTTGAATGTCTAGATGTTTTGTGTGGTCTTTATATCATTTTCTCCTAAACCTTTGCTTTACAGACTTGGACAACTTGCTGCATTAGCTGGCATAGACCAGTCAGATTTTGGTCTATTGGGCCATCCACAAATGAATTCTACTCTTACTAAACCTGTTAAGATGCACAAGGAGAAATCATTTGAAGAAGAAAGACAAGAACATACCCAGAATAACAAAGTAAGTTGGTAGAGAGAAAGCAAGTGGYTGTGTTGTTGTTACTTACCGTAGTCTTTGTTATCACCTTCTGACTGAAAGTCAGGATTGGCCAATGAACTATGAAATTATCAGGTTTTTGCTCTGCTTATGTGTGCATGAATATATTTAAACAAGTTGTAGTAATTAGAATCATAGAATCATTATGGTTGGAAAAGACCTTCAAGATTGAGTCCAACTGTAAACSCCTCACCACCCTGCCTGCTGAGCTGTGTCCATAGGTGTCCCATCTACATGTTTCTTGAATACCACCAGGGACGGTGGCTCTACCACTGCCCTGGGCAGCCTGTGCCAAGTCTTCACCACTCGTTCTGTGTAGAAACGCTTCCTCAAGTCTGACCTGAACCTGCCCTGGTGCAACTTGAGGCCATTTTCTCTTGATCTGTCCATAGATATTCTGGATAAGAGACCAACCCTGCCTCACTACAACCTCCATTCAGGTAGTTGTAGAGAGCAATGTCTCCGCTGAGCCTCCTCTTCTCCACACTAAATAACCCCAGCTCTTTCAGATGCTCTTTATAAGGTCTGGGCTCCAGCCCCTTGACCAACTTCACTGCCTGACTTTGGACACACACAGTATTAATGCAGATCTCTTAATTGATCACTATTTGAAGCAGAAACACATACTRTTTTGTAAGTTACTTTAAAAGAGGTGGCAAAAATGTTGTTTCTTGCTCTGAGACATGGAGTTCCCATATAGGTATGTATCAGCTGAATAATAATGAGAATTATTAGATGCTGAAAAATGTAGTTAAAGATGTAGGATTTCAGTGTCTTTGAAATTTGATCGTAGATTGTGGTATTAATGCCATCTGAAACACTGGAATTCTTTCTTCTGTAATGTCAGTCTTATGTTGGTCCTTCCAGTCAGATTTCCAGGGAGGATACACCTTGAATTTCAGGCAACAGGAATTAGTAATACTAGCAATGTAACTTCTCAGTTTCTACTGTGAAGGTARTGAGTACAAAGGCTGCTGGATTTTTCAAGACAGGTGCTAAAGTTCCCTTTTTTAATAAATACTGGAGGAGAAATAGCAGGCTTATGTCCTCAAGGTAATGAAAAATTAAGATTTTGGCAAGCTACGCACTTGTTCAGATCAGATAAAATTGTCAWTGCAATTGTCATGCATTCCAACATGTTTCTAATATTCATTGTTTCTCCTACTAAGTTCTTCGAGAACAAATTTTTCAAGAACACAGTGAGCTTCAAAACCACRATGGTGAAAAGTAGGGTTTTTTTAATGATGTAGAAGGCAAGCTGCAGTGTTGTGATTTGACACATCACAAACTTTGAATAATTCAGAAGGCTAAATGTAGCTGTGCTATAGCTGTTTTGATATTTTCTCYGTATGTCTACTGTGTGCCATTAGCACCCTGACAGCCTTCTGAAATTCACTGACTTAAAAAGGTAACAAAGTTTGATCTCTACTATCCTTGAATCCAGCATAGTTTCTTCTAATTTACAGTATTAGCATATGATAGCTGGAATACAGTGGGGGTTTTTTTGTGTGTTTTTGTTGTTGTTTGGTTGATTGTTTGTTTTTCCTGTTTGCATCAATACCTTAACTAGAATTTTTTTTTTCTCTCTCTAGAATGGAGGTAGAGACATCCAAGTTTCTTCTCCTGGAACTCTTCTTCAGTCCCAGATGGTTGTGAATAATGCCTTTTCAGCTCCCAGAGAAATACAAGATTTTCAGGTTGTTACGCAACAGCAACTAGGCTCATGGAAAGAAAATGAATCTCAAACAACTAGCCAAAATAAGGAGGATAACACCCGAAATAGCAGTCCAGCCTTCTCTGAGAGACGAGTCAAGCAAAATGAGCATGCAAAAGGACATCACTCAGCTAGACAGTCATCTGCTAGTCTGCATTCATTTTCTGCTTCCAGTGGGAATATGAAAAGCAATGGTAGCAAAAAGTCCAGTTATAACTCTGGTGAAAAAAGTAAAAGTTCTTCTTCAAAGAAATACATCCCTAGAGCAAATGAAAATGCAATGGGAAGCACTGTTGCAAGAAGGGACCAAAGTAGACTGCAGGCAACAGACCTCTCTGGMACGGATACAGGAGGATCTGGCTCTGAAATACAAGAGAGTATTCATTCTGTGACCAGCACTTGAAAAGGTTCTGAAATGTTTAGACTGTTCTTTATGCTTACAAGATTAAAAATAAATGTTGGATGCCATAGCATAGCTCTTTTGTGAAGAAAYGTAGCCTTTGAAGATACCTAAAACATTCTTCCTTTCTCATTTGTGTTTCTGTTTCATGTTTGTATCATTTGCCACTGAGTTCTTTTGAAACAGAAAGGAATGAGGTACCGGTAGTACAGAACTCTTCTGTTTGTACTATATGCAAAGGATCCTTGGGATATGAATTTTACTGTGTATCACAGATTTCACTATAAAGTTTTTTTTAACTAATAAAATTAATTTGAATACAAACTATAATTTGTATTTTCAGTGTGTTGTAGTAGAAGTGAAACAGTGGTTTTAAGGCAAATGTCTATTGCTTTTGCATAGACAGCTGGTTTGTGGCTTCTGAGCTACGATGCAAAGARGTATAGAGCTTGATCTGAATTTGTCAGAAGTATCACAGGAAAACAGATTGTTTTTCACCAGGAATAGAAAGGTGCACTTAAATGTGATCTTGGGATAGGGGTAAAGGAAGGAAAGCAGCATCTTCCTTTGTATTTTGTTTTTCTTAAACTTGCTAACTGCCACGTGGCAGTTACAGCAATGTGTTCAGAATTTAAGATGATTATATCAATCATATAATTACCAACTAAAGTGAGTGAATGATACTAATAAACAATGGGTTTTTGTGCCTGTAAAAAAAAAATGGAGTTCTGTTGTAAATTGAAGTTGCCAGTCTTCAGTTTGGGAAGTGGAATCCAACATGCTTTTCTTTAAAAGAATTATAAATACATAAAATGTTGTTCACAGGTGTTGATAAAAAGGTGCCTTTTTTGGATTGATTCAAACTTAAGCATTTCCTTTATCTTAGTAAAACCATTTTCACAGTATAACTTTAATTTGTGGAATGTTTTCCATTGACAAATTGTAATTCATTTGGAGAGTTAAGACAGAGGATGGGAAGTAAGGGATGATGGATTTGACGTAGTGGAATTAGGCAAGGTGATTTCAGCTGAACGATCAAAAAAAAATTACTGTGTAACTTGACTTTTATTTCATCACCTGTAGTTAGATTTCTGGAACATGTAAGATCTGTAGAAATTCCTGTCTCCATTTACGTGATATCCATGGAGAGACTCATGAATCCTGAAATGGAAGCTTTCTGCAGAGCAAATAGCGTAATATATAACCTTGGCTACTGCATTATTGCATAAGTAATTGCACAATGAAACTATGTTATTTATATAGACTTTGTCACTTCAGAAGGAAATAAGCAGCTATTTTATTAATTTGTTTGCCTTTTTAGATGTTCTCCCAACCTTTTAGTATAGGTTCTAGACTGAGATTTAAGTCTTGGTGCTTTGACATCATATAATTGTCATCGTTATATTATCTGCTTGAATCAATTACACAAGATAGCTGATTCAGCAATAAAGTGGGATACATACCTACTTTAAAGCTAACCCCTGTGAGGTGATAGGTGAAATTACAGTTTGAGGTGTTCAAATCTGAGGAGTTAACAATTGCCAATGTTATTTTTCCCTAAAAATGCTTAGAACAGTTTTTAAAAGTCCACCTATMTTATGTCTTTGAACAGGTATATAAATGCTTTCTAGCTTAAATATACTGTTTGTTTTTAAAACATACCCTGTGTCAAAGATCATCTCAAAGCAAGACTAATTTAGAAACCCACATTTTTTTTTTCAGTGGGTTTAAGTCAAAAAAAAAAAAAAATCATCATAGGTATCTTGTAACCCCACCTTGTCAGAGGTAAGGTTGTGGAGCAATATTCTGTGAGAATTGCTACGTGCCTGTAGCACAGGCATGTACAGYTGAATGCTGGAACTTTTAGTCTATAATGAGACATCTGGGACATTAGTTAAGGCTAACATGAATATTTCAGAAGTTGCAAGGTTTTTATTAATATATATTTTAGAAAACTTTTTATTAAATACAGACAAATAATATGTCAAAGTATACATTTCTGCATATATATATGTTAAGTGGTTATGAATTCAGTTTTCAAGTTTGAGTATTGATGAAATGTTTCAACCTCTTGCTAGTAGTTAATATTTTACATATTTGTCTGTGTTCTTGTTTGACATAAAAGCCTGAAATCAATAGATCAGCTATTGGCTAGAGAACACATTACTATTTACTTAAAGGACTCCTCAGTATTTTTATCTTCTCCTGTGGTTTTCTCGAATTATTTTGCGTTATTTCTGCTTGCTGCACTTGCAGCCCAGTCTCTAATGGAGGAAGGAAGTGCCTAGATTACGTGTGTGTTATTTGTGAGGGTTTTTTTACCTGGCCACACTCACTGCTGCGCTAGAGCCCGGCCGCGGTGGCGCTCGCGCTGCTGCCAGGCAGGCTGCCGTGGTGGTGATTTGTCCTGCAGCAGTGGCGTCAGGCTGACCAGTGTCGCCCTGACAGGGCTAGGGCTTGTGCGTGTGCTCTGCTCCACAGAGCTGGGTCCCTTCCAGCAACAGTCCACGGGTGCCCTTCCGCACAGCTCCTCATGTCACCRTGAACCCAACAAAAGTTCATGCAAAGCTTTGGAACATCATGAAGTATTACGCTAGTTCTGAACTTTCTTTCTGTTTCTGACTTTTTTTTTTTTTTTTCATGCTATAATGAGTACAGCTCTCGTTTTAAGTTTGCATTAATTCTTAATTAATTAATTAATTCTTAATTAATTAATTCTGGCAGTTGTAGCACTGTTATGTATTGGAAGCCAGAAGCATGTCTGTTAGGGTCCCGAAAGCTTTGTATTTAAAATGGGGTGTTTATTTGCAGTAATGAAATCCCTCAGTTATAATTACTGATAGCAAATAGTGAAAGCAGAGAGTTGCTTCTCAGTAGATGATTCTCAGTAGAATCAAACTGATTAGACCCTTTCTGTTACTTTTCATTCTTCTCTCCAATTGCAGAAACAGAACCCTCCCTTTCACAGGTCTATTTTGTGGTGGTTGTAAATGTSTGCAAGGCTGTTTAGCTTCAAGACTGATCCTGTTTGTATGTTAAAGTGCTTCCTGTGTTACTGGGTAAGTTACTGACCCAAACCCACCACCTAGCTTGACTTGCCTTGGATTTCYCCTCTCAGGGAAGCCACGATTCCCCTGGCAGCTCCTGTTTCAAGCCTGACTCTCTACCCTCTGCAGTGGAAGGTCCCCCAAAAGTGCCCATTTTCCCCCAAGCCTCTGCCAACCCAGCACCCTAGTGAAGTGGTCATTACTGTAGCGCCCTGCTCATGTCACTATGCAGGGTTGCACTTGGKGCTTCACTTAGTCAAAATGGGTTTTAATACCTCAGTGCAGCTGTTCTGGTGGCTAAGCAGTGCTCTAAAAGGGACCTGATGTTTTGAAGGAACCGATGCTGATTCCATCATGTCCTAAAGGTGCCTCTAGTTCTTTCAGAGCAAAGGAGGGTTCCTGTGGCTGACGGTGAAAGTTTAAGCTGTATCTGTTACTGAAAAAGCAGGCTCTGTTTCTAAAATCACTTTATTGAAAGTTTTTTAAATCAATTTAGCTTCTGTGGGCTGCAAATGTGTTAATTAGCACAGTTGATTATTCCCATTATYGTGCAAAGTGTCTTGAAACCCAGATTTTTAGAGCATAGTTGGCTTCTTTTGCAGGTCCAGCTTTCAAGGGTCTTGCAGGACATGACTGCCAGGGACAAGCATTTCCTTAGCACAGAAATATGCAGCGAGGAATGATCTGTTTCATAAATTTTGATATTCAGAAAATAGTGGGTATTCATGTGTCTCTATCTTAACCAGAAGAAAGGCTGGGTTGTGGGGGGAACACCAGCCTGGAGTGCACCAGGTTTAGGGGCCTGCTGCCTGTAGCAGCCACGACCTTCCTCCAAGGCCGGGGCTAAGTTAGGGGTCTGCCCCTGCTCCCGGCCGGAGCGGAGGGCTCGTTTTGTCCCAGCTGCCCTCGGCCTCCTTCCTCGCGCGCCCTGCGGAGCGGGCTGCGGGCAGGCGGCAGCTGAAGCTCTGCCCGCTCCGCGGGGCGCGCTCTGCGGCGGACGGCGCGGGCACGGGCGCTGCGGGCACGGACGCCGCGGGCCCGCGTCCCGCACCGCGCCACGGGCCCGCGTCCCGCACCGCGCCGGCCGTTGGCTCCCCCCGCGCGGCCCCGCGCGCCGTTACGCAAAGCGCGGGGGAGGGGCGGGACGGGGCGGGGGCGTGCGCGGGGCTGGCCTACACGCTGCCGCCCCCCGCGCCGCTCCGCCAATGGGCGCCCGGGGCGCTGCCCGCGCGGCCAATGGGCGGCGGCGGGGCGGCAGCGGCCCCGCCCCCCACGCGGCGCGGGCGCCGTGGGCGGGCGGGCGGCGGCGGCCGTTTAAGGGCGGCGGGGACGGGGGGCGCGAGCGGCGGCGGCGCCACGCGGAGCGGCACGGCGGGGCGCGGAACGGCGCGGAACGGCGCGGAACGGCACGACAGCCAGCATGCAGAGCGGGCGGCAGGTGGCCAACTTCGGGGCCGGGCCGGCGAAGCTGCCGCGCTCCGTGAGTAGGGGCCGGGCCGGCGGGGGCTGCTTCTATTTCTTTTTTTCTTTTTTTTTTCTCTTCTTCTTTTTTTTTTTCCCCCTGTTTTTATTGTACAATTTTAGATTTAATGTCTTCTTTTTTTCATTTTTTAACTTTTAATTTTTTTTTTTTTTGAAAATAAATGTGCCCCCCAATGTGCTTTTGGGCTTGCACCCGCTGTTTTTATCTCCAGCGGTGCTGGAGAGCCGCCTTCCCCCGGGCTGCCGCAGTTTGGGGTGGAAAGGGGGGTTTTGCAGATCCAATGAAGCTGGCCAGAAAGAAAATGAAAGAAATAAGCAAACAACGGCAAAAACAGAGATAACGCAAGGAGAGGTTTTTGTATAAAGAGTGCTAAGGAGCACAGTGTAGGCTCAACGCTTTGGGAAGTTGCATCAGCAAGCACAGGTTATCCAGATGGACACGGAGAGGGGGTGGCTTGTGCCGATTTAAGAGCTGGGCTTTCTGCTCAGGAGGTGTGTGCGGTGGGAATTTTTTCTTCTTTTCAGTTTTCTCCATTGCTATCTGCAATATCTCCTTAATGCATTTTTGTTTCTGAAGCAAACCAAATTTGCTGTAGAGCAGCCTCTTCTTTTTCCTTTTTTTTAGAGCAGTGAAAGAAGGAAGAACAGTGAAAGGCTGAAGCAGCAGATCGGCTGACAAAGGCTGCTGGAGTGTCCTGTGCATGTTAATGGCCTCAAAAAATTACTTATTTATTTATTTTCCCTGACTTCCAATAGCATAACTAAAGAAGGTGTATGCTTGGAAAGTGCAGGACCATGTTTTCCGAGATCAGGCCTTATCCTCTTGTGGTAGTTTAAGGGAGACAATTCCATTTTTGATATTTCCTCCAGTACTTCACTTCTGCAAGTAAAAGGTAGGAACCCTGGGTAGAGAAAACCCTGGGTACCTGTGCAACGTCATTAAGTCTTGTGTAAAAGGTGAGGAGTTCCAGACAGTTCCCAAAATCACTCTGAAACATGCTGGAAATGTTACTGTTCAAATAGTGGCTTGGAATACAGACTTCCCCAAAGCACGTGACTTAATTATACCATCTCGTGAGAAGTCTTCAGCTACTACATACAGTAAAATTACACTGGTGCCTCCTAATTGTATTGTGTCTGGTAATMTAATTTTGAGAAGTGTCAGGTAATTACAGTATGGAGCAGGCTGACACGCGATGCATTAGTGGTTATCAATAGTAGAAAATCTCCTTATTTTGTTTATTGGTTTTATTTTTGTTAGGTGTTACTAGAAGCGCAGAAAGAATTGGTGGACTACAAAGGACTCGGTATTAGTGTTCTTGGTAAGACTTTAAAATAATTCTGCATGTGCTTCCGAATGTAGATGTCTAATCGAGTGGTTTAATAATAAGAGCTTTTGACCTTGCTATTGCAGCTGAATTCTTACCCTTCCTTTTRTAAACCTTTGGTACATACATGGCAGCATGTATGCCCAGAGGATAATCTGTCATAGTGCAGCTCTTGCCGAGCTAGCYGCTCATCCAGGGAGCGATAACTGATACGTAGGGAGGCATCTAGTGATCCAGCATACAGGACTAGAGGCCCAGAAGATAAGCACTGAGAACTAATGCGTTAGGACTCCTGGATCTTTAGAAAGGCACCACTTTTTTATGCATGTGAACATGCAGGTGTGCATGTGTAATTGTACCTTGGATTGCAAACTTTCCTAGTTGAGCAAGGAGAGGATACATCTGAAGTACAGCATCCTTCCCATGAGGGAGGAAACGGTGCTGCCCTAAGGAAGAGGTGTCCTGTWTAGCGCGTGCATGTATGACTCACTCCTCTGCCCCTGTTGTGCAAACACTGTGTGTGTGTGTGCGCAAACATGCGCAGTGTTGGAACCCTGAAACTGCTCGGCTGCTAAAACTGTGCAGCCGTCCGGATTTGCATTCGTGATTAAATAAATTGCATACTCTTACAAAMAGAGGAAGGAACATGGGTTTGTTTGATGGAATTAATACAAAGTGACTCAGTTTCTAATTATGATCACAGCATGAAGAAGCCATGTTAAAATAATATAACGAGGAGGACTCCCAATGCTGCTATGGGAGTTTAGGGTGTGGTAGTAGCAGAAAACATTGCTGCARCCTAGCAAAGGTGCACCTTGCTAGAGAGTGCTTTCTGCATCCATCCCTGAGMTACTTCCTGGGACAGGAAGGAGGTGAGGATATGAAGAATGAGCAGACTGGATTTGTATGCATTTGGACAGGGTGGGTGGCAYAGGCTTGCATGGATATTTAGGAAAGTCAGCAAAAGGGGAGTCAGGAATGGGAACAGGGATCTTCAGGTATTTTGAGTCTGTGAAAAATAAAAGGTTTATTTCATGTCATCTTTTTTTTTTTTTTTTCTTTATTTCTTTTCACCCAAGAAATGAGCCATCGTACCTCAGATTTCACAAAAATTATAAATACAGCTGAAAATCTCTTGCGTGAATTGCTGTAAGTGCTTATTTTTATTTTGATTCATGGGAAGACCTTTACTCCTTAGAGTGTGAAAGGACCTTTTTTAGATATTATATCTAATAAAAACTAATGATCTTGAAGACAAATTTGATCTTCCATTTGTCTGATTCTAGTTTACTTGAAGTGGAAAAAGGTCTTTTAACATATTTTACATTAATGCACTAACAAGTTGACTTGCTTCCACAATTTACATTTTTGTCATGCTCCTAGATTTAATAAAGTTCAGCATTTTTTTAAAGAAATAAGTTGTAATGATTTAAAAATACATGCTTGTTACTTACCTGCTTTAGTTAACAACATGTGTTACTGTAATACTGTAAAGAAGGTCTCTAAAGCAATAATCCATTTTTACTAAAATAAACTTTATCTGGTTGTTTTGTAGAATGACCTATCAAGAAGCCCTTTCTGTATGTAGTGTGGCACATTTTAAAGCTTCAGAATACATAGAATATTGGAATTACTGAACAGCTCTTGTAGCAGTTAATGATCCTTTCATATAAAGATATAAAATCAAGATTTTAAACACAGAATTATTGACAGAAAAGCTTTTATGATGACATCAGTAATTTGAACATGTAGTTTTTGTGACTTAGTAAATTATTATATGCATGTTTTGTGTACAGCTGCTCTTGCAGATTTTTAAGTTTTGATCTTTCAAAGATGAAATCCACTGTAAGTACTTTGGTCTGCATTTCTTAACCTCATGGAAAAACCATAAAACTAACCGCAGACAAAACTATGTTTCAGCATTAATTTTGTTGGAACATCCTTCAGGTTTGTGTGTATTACGATAGAAGAGCTACTCTTGAGTGAGTCTGTTCATTGCTTTTTTCCAACATATTTTTATCAATAATATATGTAGTGGTACTCTTGACAGCAACTAAAGAGCAATGCTGATGCAAGTTGATGAGCTGTGGTTTAACCTCTTGCAAAAACCTCTTYTAAAATGGATTTATTTTTCCAGTGTATGTTGCATTCACTGGAAAAAAAAACAGTATAGTAGCAAGTATCGTGTACTTAACCTCATGAATCTTTTCCCGTCTGGAAATAAAAAATGTATATTATATGTTGACATACAAAAATAAATGTATGTTTATTTCTTGCATGCAGAAATATACCTGAAAACTACAAAGTTATTTTTCTCCAAGGAGGTGGTTCTGGTCAGTTCAGTGCAGTTCCMCTTAATCTACTTGGTCTAAAGGAGGGAAGACATGCAGACTATGTGGTTACTGGAGCTTGGTCAGCAAAAGCAGCTAAAGAAGCGGAGAAGTATGCCAAAGTGAATATTGTCCATCCTAAACTGGCAGCCTACACAAGTAAGTTGATGATTACATCTGTGTGAAACCTTAGCTTTTTTTGAGTTGCTCCAGAAATGAGTCTGTCTGTTACAGGATGTTAGCTGGTTTAACAGTTGACTGSCTAGCACTTGAAAATGACCAGCCACATCTGTCCATGTTCATGCTTGGGAGATCTGTTAGATGAGCTAGCCTTCTCCACCAGGCAGGGTGAGTCCTGGGAGCAAACTGAGCARTTCCTAGAATGTTTGAGGTAGGAAGCAAGTGCGTAGTGATCAGAGGAGTCACTTGGGCTGTCTGAGGAGACATCAGTTTTAAATATATTTTTTTAAAGTTATTTATTTTGTAAGTGCTAGGTATTTCAGTTTCAGCTACTTTTCCAAGTGTGATTTTCTGCAATTTAGAAACATACTCGAGATCTTATGATTTCTAGCCTAGGAATTGGGAGACCTGTCTTCCATTTCATTTTTTTGAGGGTTTCCAAACACTCGTTTTCCTACTCTGTGTCCTATCTAATAGGAAATTCTGGAATAGACAAGGCACTTTGAACTTTCTTAATACTTGTCATGGGGCATGACACAATTTGAAATATAACCACATTGTAGGAGTAAAGGTGCTTGTAATTTAGCCATTGGGAGATTTTATGAGAAATTTAATTTCAAGGATATTTACATGTATAGGTTACCTTAAGCGTTAACTCAGAACGTAAATAACCATATATCTTTTCTTCTTGGCAAATAAAACAAAACCAGGTGTCCTGGCTCTGGCTAGTCCTGAACAGTTTTCTTCTCTTAGGTCAAGTTGCACCATACAGACTAGGAAGAGTGGCAACAGGAAGGATAAAGAGCATCTCCCATGTGAATTAGTCTGTTAACTTGCAATAGGGGCAYTTACTTGGGTTTATCTCCCCTGAGACAGAGAAAAGAATTGAACTTGCATCTCCCTCATCCCAAGGGAATGCATTGGGTGTTTGGCCGCTCTGTATAAGAGGATAGGCAGAATCAGCACTTCTCTCGAGCTTTGGACCAGAAGGAACAACTGTTAGTTGTCCTATGCAGAACCTGACTGTGCTGGGAAGGCATACAGAGAGTCAATGTTAGCTTTGCAAAACTCTTGCAGGGTAGGTAAGCTCATGTTCAACTTGTGAATTACTGAAAAGCTTTTGGAGCTGCACTGAACCAGACCTTTGCAGAACTTCAGCAATTATAATTTGGGTGTTACTGTGGTTATAAAGACATGTGGAGGATTCTCAGATAAAAGTGCTGAAATTCATCTGAAATTCTATTTTAAATCCTAAGACAGTGGTTTACAGTTTATAATTTGAGATCGCAAACCTGATTTAAAATCCCTTGAGGAAGAAGGACTTGCAAATAGAAGGTCTGCACATTTGATGATTCTCTCACCACAGAGAATTTTGGGAATCCACAGATGTATTTCCTCTGTAAGCAGATTTAACATAATCAGTCCTGAGTTTGCATTTTGAAAGTCCAGTGTTCAAGTAAAACTGCATGCAAAGGAAAATTACTTGTTTTCAGTGACCTTTGGTTTTCCTTTYTGTCTATCTCAGAAATACCTGACCCAAGCAGTTGGAATCTTAATCCAGATGCATCTTATGTCTATTACTGTGCTAATGAAACTGTTCATGGGGTAGAATTTGACTTTGTACCTGATGTCAAAGGAGCAGTTTTGGTTTGTGATATGTCATCAAACTTCCTGTCCAAACCTGTGGATGTTTCCAAGGTACAGTATCAGACAGAGTGGCTGCAGAAAGYGTTCTCAATGTTGAGTATGTATTCAAGCCACAGGCATCTGTAAGAACATGACTGTTTATATCTGAAGGATATAAACATTGAAATCTGAAATTTCAGATCTGAAAGTTATCTGTTATTTTAGTTATCTGTTATTTTTAGGAAAAACATATTGAATTCTATTGAAATAATTCATGCTATCATATCTCCAAGATTCTTTGTCAACCGCATTGTCTTCACTGATGCAGTAGCTGACAAATTGCATAGTCTGTAGACAGACTTGTAAACAAGTGGTTATAGCAAGGCTTTGAATCAGAATATTTGATCCTGCCTCTAACATGGCCGATTTTAAKCTGTAAAACTTCCTGTGCTATTTAAACCACTCTCTTTTTTGTTTGTAAAGTGCACTGTGGTTGGGAAATATTACTGACTTGTGAAATAATGTTCATCTTGGCTTTTCCTCATCTACCTCTCTTTGAATAGATGGAGTATGTAATTTCTCTTCTGAAATGCCTGATTAGTTGTATATTTCTATTTATTTAGTCATATACTTATTCGAAGTAGTAGGAAATGGGGACATGCTGTCTTGAGAATTATTTGCAACCACTAAACAATCATTTGGCAAATTGCCAGGAAATTTGTTGTGATGAACTACCTCAGTTGAATGAAGATACAAGCTTTTGATTGTAGGTTCTGATAATAGGTCCATGTTAATACTTGGTATAACAATTCTACGATAACCGATAACTGGAAGTCTCTTTGAGATAAGTATATTTTCCCTTTAACCCACAAATTGCTTATTTTCAACATATTCTGCAAGRTTTTCATTTTGTTTGTATGCCTGTTGTGTAAAGATACTGGTTTATTATGCAGTTGTAAGATCAATTAGTGACTGCATGTAACAAGTCTTTTTTTTTCTCCTTTCTGTTGAAGTTTGGTGTGATTTTTGCTGGTGCTCAAAAGAATGTTGGTTGTGCTGGGGTTACTGTTGTAATCGTCCGCGAGGACTTGCTGGGATTTGCACTGAAAGAATGCCCTGTAGTACTGGATTACAAAACACAAGCAACAAATGGCTCTTTATATAACACTCCACCTTGCTACAGGTAACTTATCCCAGTATTTAATATCTGTTATTCATAAAACTGTTGCACTGCCATCTGCTGCTGCTGTTGAGAAAAGTTTTGGAAATTAGTATATTTGCTGTCAGGCCACGATTCTGCTGGGAACTGCTGAAGCATGTGGTCATTATGGCTTTGGTGGTATCCAACAGGCCTGAGCCAGGAAGAACATTATGCTTTTAGAAGTACATACTATATGTACTAATTCCAGTTCTAGAAGATTCAGGACCTAATAGACCTAATAGTCTGCTTGCTTAAATGAAATCAGCTGTAGTCAATTCAGTGATACCGAGTCCCTCACCACCAGAAAAGAATTTGTCCCTTAGTATTGCTTCTTGAACACTCAGTATAGACTTGGTTTAGCAGCTTCCTGAGCAAAGAAACGTRGAGTTACGTATAAGCTCTGCTGACCCTGCTTGGCTCCTGGTGTGRGAGAAAGGCAAAATAACAATGTAGTTCTGCAGCTTCTTTCTGGCTCCTGCAAAGCTTATCTAGAAAAGAAAGTGCCTCCACAGCTGTAATTAAGTTTCTGTGAGTACAGTGCAATGTAGGGAGAAATGCAGAGCAACTGAAAATAAAGTTGAGATCAACAGTCTTTCTCCTTTGTAACTATTGCTTTGCYGGATTTTATTTCATGCTAAAGACCTGCTTTGGATCCCATTGTGTAATCCAGAGTGTAATAGAGACTGAAATGTTGGCAGAGTGCTCTTCTGTTTGGCTTGGTTTTAAAATGCCTGTTCAGTTTTGTAAGGAACTGGCAAAGCTCCTCAACTCTGCCTTTGTCCCTCCTCTCCCTGCTTTGTCCGTACTAAGGTCTAGCAAACAGGCAGGAAATATTAGCTGAATTTGCAAAAGCTACTCAAGCAGAACATTAAATTAATGTGATGCTGATGGCTTTAACCTCTTGATTAAAAAGACGAACTCTTGGACCCTAATCTGCTTTGCCAAATGAAGGGTGATTTTGCCAGGCAAATCTCATTTCTAAGCTCCGAAGGTTTATTTTGCATTTAAAATTGCTCTTGAAACATGATTTTGACTGGTGTGAAAGAAGAAGATACCTTCTAGCTGGTTGTTTTATGTGAGTCACCCTAAGGCTCACGTCTGTAAATCTTAACTATGCAAAGCACTTCACTTGAGGAAATAAGGACCAGGGCATGGGCTGTGATTCACTAAAACCCTTGAGTGGTTGACAGGCTGATGCTGTTGTAAGTGTAGCTATATTGTGAACTTACAAAACCATAAGGTGCATTGCTTATTTAAAACTGGCAGTCTGTAACCTCAGTTATTCTGTAGTCTTTCTGCAGTGTTGAAAGGCTTGTATCCATTGACAAATAGAGCAAAGTTAAGCGAACCTCCTGCTAGATGGAAATTTGCAGGGTAATGGAGCACTCCTCCTGAATATGTAATGAAAGGATTAATAAAAGCAAACCTGTTGGAAATATGCCATCAAAATCCTGAACTGTTTATTATGTAAAACAGTGTAGTCATGGGAAATGCCTGAACTTGAACAAGCTGAGCTTTATAACAAAAGCACAAAGGCAAAATGCCTTTAGGGTTTTTACATTAGACYGGGTAACTGGCATTGAAATGCTTGGTCAGTAACAACGTGAATTCATCAGGCTTCCAGGTCTGAGCTGAGCTTGGATGGTGATTAATTAAGGAGTGTAACGTGTTTATTTGTTTCAACAAACATCGCTCTTTGTATGAAGAAGGTGCTCTGTAGACAGAAGTGGAGTTATAGTTTTATTTTTAATACTTATAAAATTGAGATTAGACTTCTGGTGTTACTAATGCACACTCACTTGCGACTCACCCCAGCACCTTTGCTAGAGCAGCTATGCAGGGTGTAGACCACTAACTGAAGCATGACCCCAGCTTCTTTCTAGGACCTTGATAGCTGTGCAGGCAAAGAAGTGACTCCCCTTGCAGAAGGGCAATGCCCGAGGGTGTCCTTGGAATGTCACTGCGCAGGGAAGCCAACGGGATGCGCCCTCCTGCCGTGCGAGGGATTAATAACATCTGGTGCAACCTGCCTGTGTCCCGTTTGGGTTTCAGGGTCCAGAAACACCGACTGCTTAAATATGTCATAATTCGGAATGTAGGCCAAATTCTGAATGACTAGTCATCTTAATAAATAAATAAATAAAACTAAACGTGGCATCTTATTATGAAATATTTTGTGCATCATTAAAGAGGACTCTCTTTTTTTTTTTCTTTTATTTCTTTTACAATAACCCGATTGTATGTTATTTCTCTTACATAGCATCTATATCATGGGATTGGTGCTAGAGTGGATAAAGAACAACGGCGGGGCTGCAGCTATGGATAAACTTAGCTCAGTCAAATCCCGAATGATTTATGACATTATAGACAAGTCTAATGGATTCTATGTGTAAGTAACTATGGTGCTTTTTTTTTTTTCCCACTTGGTTTCAATGTTTATTGCAGAGCTTCAACTTAAAATGCATACTGCAGTCAGACTGTTAAAATTGTCTTTTTGATGTCCTGAAATTGTGAAGGATCCTAGAGGAATCATCTGTGTAAAGGATTCATTTGATAACTATCTAAGGATGAGTCTCATTTCAATAGAATTTGAGGTTATCCTACTTATAGCTATTACAAAGTGTATTTAAAAATATGTATTCTAAACTTCATAAAATGCAGAGGCCTATACAACCCACCCACACAAACGAAAAACAGATAGGCTGAAACCCCTGCTTTGTATGCTTAGTGAGTGTCTTGGGAAATGCATGCCAAAGCAGAGAAAGTAGCTTGTAAGTAGTTCTAAAGGGCAGTTCTCACTATCATAGTCTTTGTATCTTCTCTTTCAACACTTCTATATTACCTCATGGTGTGCCTGCTTGAGCAGGAAGGTTGGACTAGATGATCTGTAGAGGTCCCTTCCAACCTTAAATATTCTGAAATATTCTGAAATATTCTGAAATATTCTGAAATCTTGAAACACGCACTGAAAACAGTAGGAGCAAGTAGTTGTAGAATAATAAGTAGGCACAACATAAAACATTTTCATTATGTACAGTTCCTTTTCTTCAATTTTTCCTGATGGATTTTCAAAGCAGTTTAATACTGTTTTTGTTTGATTTCTTTTGGTTTTCAGATGGTTGCAAGGTATTTTTGAGATTGCAAGACTCAAAATGTTTATAACTGACAGCTGATGTTGTAATTTGGAGTAATTATTTTAATTAGTCACATTCAYGTAAAAAGTAGTGAATGATTTTCAAACTCTGCCGAAATACGTTTCTTTACCTTCAGCATAAAATCAATAATTTTGAGACGAAATATTCAAGTCAAAGTGTCAAAATTCTAAAAAGACAAATTAAATTTTGATTTTAAATTAAATTTGGCTGCAGCCTTAATTGCAGCAAAGATATAGTTCCCTCATGGTAATTAATACATTTGTTTTATCCAATTATTTRATAAGAAACATTGTATTTGCCTTTGTCATTGTCATGATCAGGAACATGATCCTGCTCTGGTGAAGTCCTGAGGGCTTTTTGTAAACCACAGCAAGCAAATCATGCCTCGAAAAAACATTTCCTGACACATAGGAAATATGTATTTCTGGAAAGCTGCTCCTTAGGGCAGTGAGCGCATGATGTGGTGTGGAGGAGATGCTGCAGGGGTAATTCAGAATGCAAAGCAAATTTCACAAAGAAAGAAGCTGTATGCAGCTTTCTGAGTAGTGTGCTTAAGACTGCAGGTTTTTTACTGTGCCTGTGACTCGGAGAGAGTTAGTGGAGCTGCCTGGCTGGCTGTGAGGCACCACCTCACCTGTGGCCCCGCTGCGTGAGCAGTGACATGAGCCCTGGAGCAGAGCCCTGTGTGCCAGGCACAGACACAGGTTGTTACCTGCAGATGTCCAGCTACTGACAGCTTGCACCGAGTGATGCTGGTTTGCCTAATAGCACCTGGATCTTGCAAAAACTGTAGCAGAAACTCAGTTAATCGGGGTGGAAATTCTAGCAGGGCTAGGTCTTGCCGAAGAGTGTTTTCTTGGTTGCATCTAAATATTAAAATTTGCACCTGCAGATACTATGATCAGTTATTTCTTCATGATGGAGAAATCTGTACAAAGGAGCAACTGAGGACTTCAAAAAGAATGATGCCCATTCCTTGTCACATAAAATAATAACAACAGACACGGAATGGTTATTTCCTTGCACTGCACTCTTACACTTGCTTTATCTCTGTGCACTCCGTAGTGGCAATTTGAGGAATGGCAAGAAGGGATGACGAGTTTTCCTCTTAAATAATTCGCTTGGTTGAAAAAGGAAGACTCCTTTATTTCATAGGAAGTAATCGCCTCTGATTATGGTGGAAGAAATACCTCAGTGCCAAGCRGATACAATTATTCACTTCCTGAAGTTGCATATATGTGAAAATGTAGATTTAGTAATAAGAAAGTTAATAATTATATTTTGCAATTTTTCTAGATGCCCAGTGGAGAAGAAGAACCGAAGCAGAATGAACGTCCCCTTCCGCATTGGCAGTGTCAAGGGGGATGAAGCCCTGGAAAAGAAATTCCTTGAGAAAGCTGTGGAGCTTAACATGATATCTCTGAAAGGACATCGGTAAGTACTAGACCAAGATGAATCCATTTGTTGTGTAGAATTAAATAGCGTTATGGTAATACAGCAACAGGCCTTGTCTGTTAACTAATCAACCTCTTTCCCTGGCAAAACTTTCCTCTCGTGTTGGCTTGGGAGCCAAAGGGCTCCCCGACTTGGAGCCTGCTGGTGGATTTCCGACTGCTTATGTGTGGTTGGAGTCAGGAGACTTTCTCCCTACTTTTTTCCTTTTTCCCTAGTTTGATTAATCAGGCTCTGCAAATGCCAAAGCAGTTGGCTCTTAATGTCAGATGTGTTACTGTGTAAAGTGTCCATTACAGAACTGGTCTGTATGTCTGCAAGAGTTCCTTCTTCTATTAGCATGGTCTTTGTGGTATTAAACTAGAGATTTTTGAGGCCACAGAGCTACAGTGTTGGAGCTATGAATGTCTAGTAATTGAGTATACTTTGATAGAAAGATTGTCTTGAAGAATTAAATGTTGATGCATATTCACATAAAATGTGACTCCACACTTTAGGGTAGGAGCATGTAGCTCTGAGTAGATGATGATGCTCAAGTCTTTTCTAGCATACAAAAAGCCTGACTGCTTTTCTTTTGTTGATGTTGTTATTGATGCCCCTTCTGCTTCCCAATTCAGATCCGTGGGAGGAATCCGTGCCTCTCTGTATAACGCAGTGACTGTAGAAGATGTTCAGAAGCTGGCAACGTTCATGAGAAGCTTCATGCAGACGCATCAATCGTAAATGCTCATGGGTTGGAAACCCACTGCACATCTGTGAAACAGGAGCTAAGGGGTTTGAAAATCACTGTGGTACTGCACAGCTGTAGCGCACAAGTTTTATTGTCTTCTAGTCCTTGCAGGGATCTTTTAGTTAACTACATGGGGTTGAGGGCCCAGCCTTGCAATGATCTGGACGACCTTGACTTCTGTCTGAAGATGAGGTTCCCCAGACCAATCAAGACTGGTTCCAAAGTCTCTAAAGCAAACCACTTAATTTGTAGTTAGACTGTGAGCGGCACTGAAAGATGCTATGAATCTGATTCTGACCTTAGACGTGCTGCTTTTGAAATTCATAGAGTCACTCTTTGTCCATATAGGTACAACTTAAATAAGAATCTATCCTACCMTTTGAATAATCTTTTACCACTTTTATTTCTTGTTTCTACRCAATGACTTTAAAAATATTGTGTTCTTAATAAATTCYAGAGGGCAAAACTTGTTATAAGCCCTCCACAGAGTTTTCTAAACACTAGGTAACTGCACAATGAGTGTAAAGCTGGGGTTAGGTTTTCTCCARGGATAATYAGTTGTTTTGTCAGATGTATTCCAYTTGTACATCCTGCATCATGAGGTGTTCCCAGAGGAGTTGATATTTACATTCCTGCCTTCAGGCCTTTGCATTGGGGTGTGTATTCCCATGCATGAAATGGCATTGTGACCTAGCCCAATGCAGTAGTGCCTGTTATTACATTACTGTAGTTAATGCCTGTAGGATTGGCCCCTCTCTATTTTCTTTTAGTGTAACCAAGTTTAAAACTAAAATGCATGAGTTTAGAGTGAAATCCATTTATAAGATGTGAATTTCTCTATGCTTTTTATATTTTAAACTTCTTTAGGATATTAATTTTATGTTTTTATTTGGGGATCTGGATATTTCATACTCCTATCAAAAGCCTCTTATTTTAGTTTGTTAACTTTGCATCAAACTGGATTATATTCTATTCAAGGGTCTTACGACTTTCTCTGTGCTGACCTCCTAGTCCAATGTGCCACACGTTTTATTATCTGTTGCTCCTTAAATGTCTTTCCTCTCTTAWAATTGTTCCATTCTTTTCTTTGACTTTTCACTGATTCCTTTTTGTCACCTTTGTATGTGGGACTCTGCCTAACTCCAGCCAGTGCAAATCTTGGCTTCTCTAAATTTTCCTCACACTAGTTCACATGTTGGTTCCAGCTTTCTCACTTTATTCTCATATAACTTCAGTTCCTTCCTTATGCCATAATATCACAGATATTCAGAAGATTTTATATTGTAATACTCTTCTTATCTGTCCTCTCTCAGCCTGTGAATTTTACTACCGATGACAATATTTTGACATCATTCTGCTATTTGAACTTACATAATGTTGGACATTACTGCAACTGGTTTGAGACTTTAAGCTCTTTGGGAAGAAAGGCCTGCTCCTTTCTTTACTTTTTATGTAATACTAGAAGAGCAGTGAAGATTTAATGATATTAGTAATGGACTCTTCCTTTCCTYGTGGAACCTCTCAGCAAGTTGGTGGAATTGTAGTAGGGGTGAATGACATTCCTATTTGAAAAGTCATTGTTTTATGGCTACTGTTTTGAGAATCCTTTGCCAATTTTATTTAATTATTTGAGTTGCACTAATCAGGTGAACAAAATAAAAGAMTTCCCACAGTGCTGTGAAGCATCGGTGTGTCTGACATTTTTATTGTGTCCTTTTTGAAAGGATGAGAAGTCTACGTGGTTTCCATCACTCTTGCTAAATGTCAGGAAACCCTTCTGTGCTATGACTGGCTGTCATTCTGCTTAGCRGACATGCTATCCTAGGTGATTACAGAAAGAATTACGAAAAGAGAGAAAGTGAACACATATGTAAAAAGATTATAAAAAGTTTAAGCCTGTCCAAATTCCAAATCAATTGTTTGGAGTGAAAATAAGGAATAAGTTAAAATGGACAGCATACAGAAAATGTAAAAGTATGCTGAAAGCATTATTAGGTCTTTCGTTATATTGGTATTTGATTAATGTTTGCTGTATCACATCCACTAGATGTAAAATAAGGTGAAGCTCTTCACATTTCATAAGAACATACATAATTAAAAAGTGAAGTGTTACTAGATTTTATGTGAAATTAATCACGTTAATTGGAAAAAGGATCCTTATTCCTGTTGGTAATTAGGGTCTTGACAATTTAAAACCAGGGTTCATGACAGTCTGTTGTAAATTGGTTCTTACTAGGCTAAAAAAGCTAAGAAGTTCTAATTACCCATGGATTACCCCGAATGTTTGGAGGAGCATGATCAAAGAGATGCATGGAGATATACAGAGAAGCTGGTAGCTACTGAAGATTTATTTYTTATTAAGTAGCTAAAGAAGGAATGTGTATTTGATGTGAGAAAAACAAAAGCTTCACAGTTTCTGAAATCCCAGGAAAATCAAATTCAATCTCCTAGAACTGCACTGTGTTTGGAAAGCAAACACTACGTATTTTAGTAAATGGATTAATTACAAAAAAAAAAAAAAAAAAATCTGAAGAAATCACGAGAAAAGGCTGGAAATTTGCCAAACTTTACAAGAGAAATTACCATTAAACTGCTTATAATTTGAAACATAATTAACCAATCCATATTCACAGACATTGATATATGATTCTTTATTTCCAGATGTAAATTAAAGAAATTGGTTAACTATATTGCTAAAACTGAGGAATGACAGTAACAAACATACTTTTACATGCGTAACTGGGTATTTTTTCCACTGTGTGAGCAGTAGCTACCAGGCTAAACTGGACTAGTAACACTGGAACTCTGGACRCCAGGTTTTGTATGGTAGCGGAACAGAAGAAAGACGACAGGAGTTAGGAAGTTTAATTCCGGGCCTGGTGATGTTTCTTAGGCCGGGTGCCTGATGGGCACTGGCACAGGCTGCCCAGAGAGGTTGTGGAGTCTCCTTCTYTGGAGATCTTKAAAACCCGCTTGGAYGCAGCCCTGTGCCMCGTGCTCTGGGTGACCCTGCGTGAGCAGGGGGGTTGGACTCGATGACCTCTGAGGTCCCTTCCAACCTTCGGCATTTTATGATTCTGTGGTGTCCGCAGTGCCACCTGAGGAGCCCTTTGCCTCCTGGGCCACCTTCTCCAGGAAGGACATGACTTATTGCTGGCGACATCAATGTCAGCACAAGCACGTGGCAAAACTGCCCCGAGATGCAAAACATGTTGAGGTGGGCTACACCTGCCCCTGTTCACTAGGATAATACGCTGAGGCTCGCACTGTGTGTGCAGGGCCGTGTGGCGAACCACCAATGTCTAATTTACCCCCTCCCTGATGTCGTGATAGCTGCAGATGAGCACAATTCTCAGATCAATTACTTGTCTACATCTCTGTTAAATGAGAAGTGGTCCYGTTGTGCTTTGAAGGCCCTCTAGCACGAGTTTTAATTGCAGAGTTACTTYGGAAGGAAATTGCTTGTTTGACAGCACCAGCCAGAATATTTAACTAGCATGAGTGTATGTTTCAGGTAAAACCATTGTGTTATGAGCAAACCTTTAGCCTTTTCAGACAAAATACACATATTTAAAAAAACTACAATGCCTTGAAATTTTAAAATGTGTCATTGGTAAGTGTTACAATTTATAGATGGATCATGTTGATTCCCATGCTGTTACATATACATTGAAATATGACTTCTCTATCAATATAGAAACTATCAAAACAGAAAAAAATCCTAGGTTGATATTGTTCTTGTGAAGGAAGAGAAAAAAGTCTCTGCGAAGAAATCAGCGCATTGGTGGTGTATGAAGTGATGAAAGCGATGAAAGAAGTCTCATATAAGGTTGCCAGTGTGGAAATCTTAGTTCAAGCTGTTTGGCACCTTGCACACTGCTAAACTTGTGAAAATTCAGCATGACTGATAATCTTTGCTGAGGAGGGAGAAAAGAGCGAGTAACAGGTGCTACTCAGACCGCAAAAGCTTTGAATCAGGAATAGTGAAACGGCACTGGCAGGTAGCAGGCCTAAAGGCTGCTGAGCATTAGGAAGCCCTGACCAAAGCGTTCCTCCAGGATGCTTTCTCCTAAGGCTAATTCCGTTAGGACTGAGACACAGCTTTATCTCAGTCAGGATTGCCCRTTCCTGATCTGGAGAGGCTGTTCTGTTGGCAGCCAGACACGGAGCACTTTGGGGAACAGGCCAGCCCGATGGGCGGCCAGGCCGGGTCCGCCTGGAGGCGCGCGGTCCGCGTGCCTGCGCCGAGCGGAGGTGTCCGCACACAGGAAAGTAAGGAAAATGAAAAGTAAGCAGGAGGGATGTGTACGGCTCTGCGGAATAACAGCTCTAYATCCATGGAGGATAGTGCGTTGAACAGGCCATAGCCTGTCTGGAGCGGTGATACCCATTACCCTCTGCRTTAACCCCCAGGGAATGTGAAAGGCTCCTTGTTGTGTCCCTAACACACAACAAATAACCTTGTCGGTTTTCCAGTCGGTTGTCTTTTATTTCGGACTAAGTCAAGCTAACAGGCTAGCCATTTACGAAATATGGGAGGCTGGAAAGTCCTCTCTGTCCTGGTAGATATTGACGGGGAAGGCACACAAGGGGAGAAGGGCAGGCTCTCTGTGCCACGTTTTCTCACCCTGTCTGGAAATGCCTCTTGGTGCTTGCCGAGCTCTGTGTGCCTCTGTGAAGAGACACTCGGATAGGGCATTAAAGACTTGTGGACTAGTAGTCCAAAAGTACACAATCAATGGTTAGTTCTTAATTAAATCAGGAATGTGCAATTCTGGGCAAAGATCATAAAATTGCTCATTAAATGTATTAGTGTGTCAAATAATTTAAAATGTTTTCACTTCTATGGGCTGGGTCAGATCACAAACAACTCTATTTTGTGGACTATTAAGATTAGTGGTAGTTCAGCCTGCTTTAAGCCCCTGTAGAGAGGAGGTCCACAAATGCATAAAGGAAACAGTTTGCACATGCGTTAAGAGACACATAAGTGGTGTTTTACTTGAGCCATCTCTTTCCCTTGCCTGTCGTTCTGGATCATGAACTGGAGGAAGTTTCCAGTCCCTACAGACCACCAGGGACAAGCTATGGTACCCAGGGAAATCGTATGTTCCCAGGACTGCAATATGGGAACATGAAACAGGAATAAATTTCATTTAAGGGTCTAAAGAGAATAGAGTACTGTATGTCTGACTATGTTCAGAGAATCTTCAGGATGTTTTGCAGCTTATAGACATCACACAGATCACCTGAAAAACCTGTGACTAAAGCAGTTTCTGAGATGAGATGTCCCAGGTTCTGAAAGGTGGCAGATACCTACAAATAATTTCTTAAAGTGGTGCATGCCTAATGATCTATTTATCAGTAAGTGGTATACTATAGTCTAAAGTGCAGTCCCAAAAATAATAATAAAAAACCCAATTCCTAGGTTAAAATCTTGCAATAGTATTAAAAGCTCAATCTTAGAAAATAGTATTATTCTTGCTAAAGAAAAAAAAGAAAAAAAGTAATTGCTATTCAAATGTAGCCTAAAATGGCATTTGATGACCCTTATTCCCATTTAAATGATGGAATTATTTCTATTTTGCACTGTTATTGAGGAAAACTGAAATCAGATTCTTAGTTAAAGGCACAAGATGTAAAGTCAGAAAATGTAAGTCAGAGAAACCCTTGACAATTGACTTGGTACTGCATACTGTATTAAGCTATCCTAACAGTCTGGTTGGAATTAGTACACTTTCTAAATCTTCTTTTCTCATTCAGAGCTTCAGTCAGTCAAGTCAGCTGTTGCCCTAAAGCATGATATACTATTAATTATAGCACATTGCATGATACTCCACCATTCACTAGAGAAATCATAATACTCCCAGAACCTCTAAAAATACTCTAATGCAGCYGATTCCAGTATTTTATCTGCCCAGTTAGATACACAAAGGTTAACAAAGAGAGTAAAAAAAAAAAAGCAATTAAAACTTGTCTGGCCACTTGGTGTGTGTCTCATTGAGTGTAAAGAGAAGGAAATTTCATTTTTATTAGTTAGGGATGATTAATATGAAACATGCAGGAAATTCCATCTGTGCTGCTTACAACAAAATATGATGCACTAGTTTAGCATATACTATTCAATACTCTTGAATGAGAGTTACTAAATAAGAGATTTAGAGTCAGGGATTTTCAAAGCCAATGACAGAACTGGGAGTAAAAGCACAAGTAAGAAAAGAAAAAGAAGCATCAATCTTTGAAATCATTGTGTTGTAGTTGACAGGGCTTGGAAATGTTACAGACCATGAATGCTCCGGCACTGGGGGGAAGAGTCTTGTACCACATAACAGATGTGCCACATGTGATGTCATTTTAAAGCCAACACAAACCCCTGTTGTTAGGACAAGCACAGACAAACCATTTATTCCAGAGAAGGTCGTTGCTTTTGTAACATCCTTAGAAATTGAAACTTGTAAATAATGAATAAGATTGTTCTACTTTTTGTTATACATCCACTGCTGAACAAGGCAACATATTTTTACAGCTCC